CCTAAAAGATCCAAAATCGAATATTTAAAGCAGCTAGGGGGAGTGAACCCCACACTTCCCCCTCAAAGCTCCTAATAAAAAGTCGACTAGAGATAAAACGACCCGTGCAGTTTTACAGAAAAATCCAAAACCGGTTCCCTTAAAAAGTACAATGTTGGGGCACCGCCCTTCTCATAACACTATCTAATGTCGTGATCCCAAGATACCCCCTACACACCTGCCAATGTCTACTCAAAGAGAGACCTTAAGAGCCGCTTGAGAAAGTCTGCTTTCTCGGGCGAGGATAACATGAGTAAACATGATTCCCTTTCGTGTGTTGGGAGTAGAAGAAGTACACATAGCGCAAAGCTTTAAACAGAAGTTTTATCACCAAGATTTGCTATAAAAGACTTTTACCATTCAGAAAAGAAGGTCGTAACAAGCACTCGAATTTCCGGAGGATGAGGCCCAGAAATCAGGATTTTAAAAAGATTCCCAGGTGTTTCTAATGTGCAGCCAAGGTTGAGAACCACTGCTGGAGGGAAAGAGGTGGGCAGGCTTCTTCGCCTCTGCACTCAAGCCAACGTGCATTTTCCTGGCCCCTTTCTCTGCACCGCTCACATCCACGGCGGTGACCTGAAAAGGGAGTGAGCCGCCCCCTCTGTGTGGACACAGACAGTTTCCAGCCCTCCGTACATACGGGTCCTTCCGACTGCACCTGCTCGTACCTGGATGGTATCCTCTGGCCTGGCCACCAGGCTGCAGCTTAGAGCTCTGCCAGGCCCTGTGCACAGCCACTTCGGACTCTGCCCTTTCCTGGCTGCTCATGTCTGTCTGTCTGTTTGTCTCTCCATCTCCAGCGCTGCCTCCCTCCTCACCACTAACTCCTCTTCTAACCCGCCCTTCAGCCCCCGACGAGCAGTCCATATGGAACGTCACGGTGCACCCCAACAGTAAATGGGCCAACATCACCTGGAAGCACAATTTCGGGCCCGGAACTGACTTTGTGGTTGAGTACATTGACAGTAAGCATTGCTGTGCGGGTGGTGGCGGCGGCGGCGGCGGCAGCGGCGGCGGGTAGCGTAGATGCCGTTAAAGAGGTCCCGGAACTCCCCAGGCCTGGAGGCCTTTCAGCCTGGCTTAATTGTGACAGTGAAGTTGATATGTACTCAGATGGCAATGAGGTGGGAGGAGCAGGCTGAGGAGAAAAAAGGGGCTTCTGCAGTCATCAGTGGGGTGTAGGGTTGCATGTGCCGGGGGGGCTCTGGGGTAAGGGGCTCTCCATCCGCCTCCTGCCCAGGATGAGGGTTCTGAAGGGCCTCCCAGACCTCACCTCTGCATGGATCTTCTTAGCTCCAAATCCATGTTTCCCGGTGTCTCCACGAGACAGGTGGGGCCGGTTCAGACTTGGGGTACAGCTGTGCTTTGCTCAGACGGATGCCAGTGGCCATAGTCAGACACAGACCAGGGTCATTAGTCTCAGGGAGCTGGCGGCCTGAGCCGAGGTGTTCCCACTGGGGACCGTGTGCAGATCTGCTAAACTGCAGAGCCACCAGGATATCTGCCTCCTCTGGGTGAAGGCCCCTGTTTGGGGGGACGGGGGTCAGCCCACCATGTAGGCCTTTATGGCATGTGCTTCAAGCACGTAAGCCAGCTGATCCCTGGGCTGGCCACCTAAAGCTCTCTGAGGGAAAAACAAGCAACCCTTACTTCTCTGTGGTCGGAGGGGATATCACATCCATAGGATCCAGGATCCCCCCGTTCGGTCCATATTTTTTTCAGCTTCCTACCCCTACATCCACCCTACACCCCAGGTACCCGGGCACTCACGTCTCCTGAATTCTCCACACGGTGAGCTGCTCTCTGGCCCTCTGACCTTCTTCAGGACAACAGCACGGGCTGGTACCCTGAGAGACTGAGGAAGGAGGTCAGATATTTTAGTGTGTAGACTGTGGTGAGGAAGGAAACCCCCAGGAGAGGGGACAGGGTTCCCCGCTGAAGGGCCGTCACGTAGGAGTCAGCACTGTGTGGAGGGCTGGCGTCGGAGCTGCCTGGGGACCTCCCGGTCTGCGCAATGGCCTGGCCCCGCTGGCCCCTGGCCCCTTCCCAGGCTTCTACCTTCGACAGGTGGCAGGAGCCTAGCACTGCCTCTCCAGCTCCTCATGCCTGGCCCTGGGCTGACTGAGGTTTCTGTTCCCCAGGCAACCATACGAAAAAAACTGTCCCTGTTAAGGCCCAGGCCCAGCCTATACAGCTGACAGACCTCTATCCCGGGATGACATACACATTGCGAGTTTATTCCCGGGACAACGAGGGCATCAGCAGTACCATCATCACCTTTATGACCAATACAGGTGAGAGGGGATCTGGCCCGGCCGTCCCCTGCCAGCATGGGCATTTCATTCTCATCCTCTCCTCTCGGGAAGAAGACCCTCGCCCCCACCCCCCACCTTGCATGGCGCGTCTCAGCTCTCACACTTTGCAGCTCCCGGCAAGACAGGAGGAGCCAAAAGTGCATGCACAGTGGAGAGGCAGCCGTGCTTCTGACCCTGTGGGGAGTCCAGGAAACAGACTGTGGGACGAGGCGCCACCTTTGTTTCCCTGTGCTCCAAACAAAAGGGCTCACTTGGTCTCCGCGGTGGGTGTGGGGCTGCTGGAGTGTGCTATACCCTGTCCCGTGGGCACGAACGGGCTTGCTTCCTGCCCCTGGGATTAGGGGACAGGGTCCTCCAGCGGCCTTGACCCAGAAATCTCTCTAAGAACCGAACCAAGGGTCAGCATGTGTGTTATCACCTTGCCACTGTCATCTGTTGTTAAAAATTCCAAAATGTGTTGGTGACCCAGGTTGTTTGGGTTCGTTTTGGTTTAATTTTGGCCCTAAGTTTGTTGTGGCTTAAAAGTGATTGGCTATTTGTCCTGCTGGGGGCGGGGAAGACGCTTCCCAGGATTAGGATCCTCCTGGCTGTAAGGGGCTTCAGCCGGGGATGGAGAAGCGGCTTCATTGGGCCAAGTGAGCAGGCCGGCAGGGCTCAGGAAAGGGCACAAGGCTCAGACATCTCTGCGAGGCAGGTAGCTGGCAGTCTGGAATCGTGAGGGCACTTGCTTGTCTGTTTGTGTATGTCTTTAAAATCAGACAGGCAGGTGGTACACTGAGCCCTGATGGGGTGGGGGGAGCGGGGGACAGAGATAAAAGGACCCGTCTCTGCCCCTAGGGATGCCCTAATCAGATGCAGGTTAGCAGACACAAGGACAGGGAAAAATTGCCACAATGATTTATATGAACTCTACGTTGCCTTAAATATTCATTACTCTTCCTGTGCCTGGCTGGCGAGGCTGTTCCTGGCAGCTTGCGTCTGTGGGTCACTGCCCATCTGTATCAATGTCTGGCTCCACCCTTTCCAGCCCGGTCTCTCCTGGTCTGGGTGTCCTGTCATCCTCCCTGTGTCTCCGCCTGTCCTGCATATGTTTGTGCCATCAAGACTCAGGGAGTCATCCTGGCCCATGTGGCTCAGTTGATTGAGCATCGTCCCAGCACCAGAAGGTTGCCAGTTCGATTCCCAGTCAGAGCATATACCCAGGTTGTGGGTTTGATCCCCGGTTGGGGTACATATGGGAGACAATCGATTGATGTTTCTCACATCAATGTTTCTCTCTCTCTCCCTTCCTCTCTCTCTAAAATCAATGAAAAAATATATATTTTTTTAAAAAGAGCCAGGGTGTCTGAGAGTCCGGCTGTCGGCTTGACGCTAGCCAGGCCAACTCAGGCAGGATGTCTGGGAGCGGCCAGGCTGTCCTGGAGACAGACCAGGGAACTGGACAGTTGACCGAGTGGAGCAGGTGGCTGGACTCTGTCTGGCCCAGTCGGGGTCCCAAGCTGTTGCCCACCAGCGCATGCATTTATGTGGCTTCATTATGAAACTGAGTCCCGCACAGAGGCAGGAAGCAAAGATGAGACTCGAGGATTGGGTTCCATCCTAGGGATGCTGCAGACACCTGCGCAGCCTGCTTCAGCGTGAGGCTCTCCGTGCTGTGGGGGAGGGTTGGGAGAGCCAGGGGAAAGGACCAGACCCTGTCCTCAGGGATGTCCCTGTCTGCTTTGGGGTATTAAACTCATAGGACAGAAAAAAAAGATGATTGATAATCCACTTCTGAGCACTGACTCGGATGTTCGTTTCTCATTTCCTGTGGTTGGCCGGAAGGGGCTGGTTCCGAAAGCTTGCTTTCAGAGCGAGTGAGGAACTCAGCACCTACACGTTTCCCCAGTGTCTCCCTTTAAGCTAGAGTCGGCAATGCAGGACCCTAGCTCTGAGCAGAGGGCTCACCCCCCTCCCTGGCCGGCTGGGAGTCACTCTGTGGAAATCACATGGAAAGAAAATACTGTCACTTTCTGAAGTTCGTGTGTGCCTGTGAGTGTGTCCAGGCCCTTCGAAAATACAGTGTTTCCTGTGGGTGGACTCCAGAGCCCAGTCCACAGTCCCCCAGGCGCCGGTGTCTCATCAAAGCGACAGTTTGTGAGCATCTCTGGACCTGGCCGCTGGTCACTTAGGCAACCGCAGGCCATCACTTTAGCCCACAGATTCACACATGCTCTGGTGGCTCAGGAAGGAGGTGGAGTGTGACAGGCTCCCTGATCCTCACCAGAAGAGCCCACATGGGAAGTTAGTCATCTCCTTGAGCTCTTGAAGTCAAAGATGCCCGAGGGGCTACCGACACACAGCCCTGGACTCTAAGAGACCAGTCAGCTCTTCCATCATGGGAGGCGGGGGCGAGGGGGCGGGGCAGCATGGGGTGAGGCAGCAGCGTGGTGGATGCTGATGGTGAGTCAGCAGGACAGACAGCATCCACCGCCGATGCCAGGGAAGGAGGGACATTAGGGCCCTAACTGTCGTCTGCCTCTCTCTGCGGTGTGCGGGAGAGACCCAGGACAGAACGAGGTGGGAATGGAGAGGTGTAAGCCGATGCTTTGGTGAAAGCAGCCAAGTTGCATTTGAAGACAGTCCATCCCTGTTATATTTGTTCATCCATCCTTATTTCTGAAATACAATTCCCCTGCCGTCCTTGAGTGGCTGCCCTCTCTTCCGTGGCCAAACCAAACTCCTCCCGGTTCGTTACGAGTCATGGGAACGGTCTACCTCGCAGCTGACTTGCTCATTCTGCGTGGGGTTGGAGGGTGTGGTGTGGAAGACACAGAATATGGTCGCTGGTCCACAGTAAGGGGCACTGGGGCCTGTGTTGGCTGGGTGAAGCCCACCTTACCCCAGATCCCACTTGGTTTGGGTTTGTTGTTTTTTTATGGAGATATTGCTGGCATATAACATTGATTAGTTTTTTGTTTGTTTTTATTGATTAAGGTATACATATGTGTCCTTACCCCCCCATTGCCCCCCCCCCACTCATG